GTCGGTCTCACACTCTCAGTTGAATAATTATAAGCTTATTAAAGAGATTAACTGTGACCTGAGATTCTTCCTTAATCAGAGTTAATCGTTTCACACACGGAAATGCAATTGAGCAATGGATTATAACTATTTCGATTAAGATAAACAGTATTTGTATACCTTGATGAGAGATTGTTTCTTTGAACAAGAAATCTCTCTCTCTCTCTCTCTCTCTCTCTCTCTCTCTCTCTCTCTCTCTCTCTCTCTCTCTCTCTCTCTCTCTCTCTCTCTCTCTCTCTCTCTCTCTCTCTCTCTCTCTCTCTCTCTCTCTCTCTCTCTCTCTCTCTCGCTCTCTCTCTCTCTCTCTCTCTCTCTCTCTCTCTCTCTCTCTCTCTCTCTCTCTCTCTCTCTCTCTCTCTCTCTCTCTCTCTCTCTCTCTCTCTCTCTCTCTCTCTCTCTCTCTCTCTCTCTCTCTCTCTCTCTCTCTCTCTCTTCTCTCTCTCTCTCTCTCTCTCTCTCTCTCTCTCTTCTCTCTCTCTCTCTCTCTCTCTCTCTCTCTCTCTCTCTCTCTGTATATATATATATATATATATATATATATATATATATATATATATATATATATATATATATATATTGCTCTTATGTATATGCGTCTATGTATATGTTTATGTTGGCATGGCAGTATCCAGTTGTTTTGTTCACACATCACATCACCCTTTTTGTCTTCATTTTATTTTCATAATTTATTGTACCCTTATTTTTTTCTGCTGTTGTTCTTGTTGTGATCATCATCATTATTATTTCTATTGTTGTCATTGTCGCTGCCATTATCGCTTATTATTATCATTATTGTCATCATCGTCCTCTGTATTATTATCCTCATTATTATCATTATCATTATTCCTTTTATCATTATTAGTATTGTTATAATCATCAATGTTACCATTATTATCATTATTATCGTTATCATTATCATCATTACAGCTATCAATTGTTATTATGTTATTGATAATATCATTATTATCATCATTATCATTCTTCTTATTATTATCATTTTTATTATTATCATTATTATTATTATTATCATTAATAATATCAATATTGTTATTATAATTATTATCTTCATTACTGCTATCATTATCATTGTTTTACTTTCATTATTAATGTTATTATCATCACTACTATTATCACCATTATCATTATTATTATTATTATCATCTATACTAACATTTTTATTACCAATATCATCATTATATCATTATCATTGCCATTATCATCATTATATCATTATCATTGCCATTATCTTATTATCATTATTATCATCATCACAATTATCTTGTCATTATCATTGTCATTATTGCTATTATCATTACCATTTTTATTGTTATTATCATTTTCATTATTATTATCATTATCATTATTATCATCGTTATTAGTAGTAGTATCATTATTACTATCATATCTATTATTATCATTATTATTAATTTCATTATTGTTATTATCATCATTATGATTATTATTATTATCAATATCAATATAATTATTATTGTTGTTGTTGCTATTATTATCATTATTATCATTGTTATCATTATCATTATTATCATTATCACAATAGGTATTTTTATGATTATCACCATTATTGTTATCATTATTATCTTTATTGTAATCATTATTATCATCATTGTCTTCATTGCCATTGTTATTTTATAATCAATATTATCATCATCATTATCATTTTTATTATTCATTGTTATCACTATTGTTATTATCATTATTGTTATTATCGTTATTGTAATCATTATCATCCTTATTATTATCATCATCATTATCATTATTATTACTATTATCATCATTATCATATCCATTATCATTATTATTACTATTATCATCATTATCATATCCATTATCATTATCAATACATTGCCATTATAGCTACCGCTATTTTCATTATCATCATTATTGTTACTATATGATTATTATCTTTATCATCATTATTACTATTACTATCATCATCATTGTTGTTGTTGTTAATTAAGATCATTATTCCTTTATCATTGCCATCCCTCCTTTTTGTTCTGTTTAATATCATCGATACTATAAACATAGTCATTAACATTATCATTATCAATGTTATTGATGTTTATGATATGAACGACGTCATCATTTTCTATATTAGAATTAGCATCATCATCCTTGTCCTCATCGTCATTACCATTAACATCGTTGTAATATTATTGTCATTAATATTTCATCATTACCATTATCATCATCACTGTTACCATTATCCAGATCACCATTAATCAATAAATGTGTAATCATTATCACTTTTACTCTTATTACCATTAATGTTAACATCACTACCACATTTCTTATCTTTATCACGAGTACCAATTTATTCCTTTCTTTTATTACTAATATCACATTTTTTCCAATAACCATTGCCGTAGATATTCCACAGCAACATCTACGAATAAAGAAGGACAGAGAAAAACACCAAGAAAGCACACGAATGATATTTTTTTGTTTACTTCGTCATTCTACTCGACAGCCAAGTCTCCGGCAGTCTCACTTGGGCGAATGCGTGGTGCTCAGCCCGCCTTTACCATTCACAAATTTTATCTCGACTGATATTGAAATAGACATTTTTATATTGGAAAATTTACATATGTAATAGGGAAAATACATTTCTTCTTCACAGGAAAGTTCTATGGACTAATAATCTGATGGGAAGACAGTGATTTGAATGTTAATAAATGATATGCAATGATACTAACGCCACGCCATGACTACAGCTGGTTTCAGATACAACACTGATGGCTCTAGATTCCCGGGGACTTTGGAAGACATCCATAGTTTCGGCAATACTTTGACTTATTCTACCAACAGTCTATAGAAAGAAGACCTAACTTTCTCATCTGGATTACGATAACACATTCTTACACAGTACAGAGTTATATGAATGTTCACACACTTTGTTCCGGTTGGTTAATGTAAACAAAAAGTTTTTTTTACAGTAGATCTACAACACAGTTTGGATATCGGCTGTTCCTGCTGTTTTCATCTGCGATTATAAACGCTGGAAATAGGAATAAAATTTATTCTTATGATCTTGAATATGCTTATGAAAGATTTTTTTTTTTAAAGCGTTACCATCACATCACATCAGGAAGATCATGCAATATTCTTTTTAGAAACATGAATTTCAAATGAATACAATACAAGTCAACACAAGGATTACCAGTAATTTCTTTTAACGGCAAAGCAGGACACAAGTTTATTAATAAATTTACGCATTCAAAGAAAACGAGAGCGATCATAGCTTCGTCCTGAATAATACCAACGGACTGTTAAAGGGGAGAAGATGAACAACAATCCACGAGGCAAGGCTGATGAACCAATATTCTGTCGTTGCAATTGCACCCAAATCACCAAAGCAGATTCTGGGAAATCAAATAAGTCAAATTCCAAACGATGAGGAATCCAACTGGAATACTGGACGCGGAAGGAATGAGTAATCACGTGACCTTCAGCCCGTAACAGTTACAAAGCACATGCTTATATCCCATTCGCTGCATGTTGTCAAATACTAATTTAATGATGTTATGCTACTCTATCCTGTGCTGTATCGCCCTGTCTCGCAACATATGATGCCGTGTCGTGAACCGTATTCATGTTGACAAGTGTAGAAAAAGTTATGAATGAGAATGAATATCTTCACAATACAAGAGATGTATTTGACCGGTTTCGAATATATCTTCGCCATGTATTTCTACCGAAGATAGAATCGAAACCGTTCAAATAAATCTCTTGTACTGAGAAGATATCCATTCTCATTCGTACCTTTTTTACGTAACGTGTCGTGTCATATAACATTACTCTTCCGCCAAACATTAACGTCGATAATGTATCATGACGTCGTATCATTTTCGTATCGTTACCTCGTCTCTTCCTCCTCTTCGCTCCTTTATCATCCTTTCCTCAGCGATCGATCGTTTTCTTTCCTCTTCGGGTACGGGCATTAATTAGCAGCTCTAATGGCCACTGCCTGGGTGATTTTATTTCATTATGGGCGTCGCGTCCATTTTGTGGAGACAGTGGGCGGTATTTTACTTGCGTGTGATAAGTGGGGGGATTTTGTTCCTTCGTTTTATTCAAATAGTTTGGTTTCTCGTTGGATATACGTAATATCTTTTTTTCTCTGGTGATTTATTTGAGTTATTGTTTGTTTATCTTGTAACTGATGGTGGGTCTTTATCATCATTTCACCAGGTAAAAAGAAAGGAAAAAAAAATGATGGAGGATCTAGATCATCCTTTCACCAGGTAAAAAGAAAGAGGGGAAAAAATCGCACCGCAAAACGTTTCGCTGAGCCCAAGCAAGACCTCCGCCGCGTCCCTCATTCGCCCCGCGCTCAGGACGAGTCCCACCTCCCGGCCGCGTTCATTCCGACCAAAAGCCTTCCCCGCCAGACAACAACAAACACGCGAGCGAACGCGGCCAGGTCCCTTCCGGAAGCCTAATGAACTGCGAGGGCGCCTTGAAGGGTCGCCGGCGGAGGATGTTTTCCCCGGGCTTTTGTCATCGGGGACGCGGACAAGGAGGCGCCCTTCCGCAGACGTTAATTACTGGCTGAGGAAGCGATTTTCAGGACGAGAGGAAAGGATATGAATTTGGCTTTAAAGGAGACGGAAGGAGAAATAGAGAGGAGCAGGAACGTGACATGGAACTTATATGGAATCCTCTGATTTCTACAGATGTTCCAACAAGCAGGGTCAACCGATACATCGATGGTGTTGTATGTCTACTATGAGTTTTATCACGAAACATAGAATTCACCAGGCAGGCCACAGTGAGCGAAATTGTTTTGGCCAGTTGAGGGGTCCTGTACACTGCTTTGAAAAAAGGTGGAACATATATGTGTATTTATATTTATATATTTGTCTACATGTATATATATATATATATATATATATATATATATATATATATATATATATATATATATATATACACGGTCA